TAGGTCTGAACCGCAATGTCAGTGGTTCAAATTCATCAGCCACTCCGCAGAAACCCTATACAGGGTAGCCATGAGTCTGAACTGACTCAAGGACACTTAACAATTTTAGATTCTTAATAATTGTCCACATAACTGATTACGTTATCCACAATTAAAGAAACCTTTACTTTGTTTTTTCCAATTTATGTGATTTTTTTTTTTGCCTTACTGAATTCCCAGGACCTCCAGAATCATACTGAACATAAGTGGTGAGTAGACACCCTTGCCTTGTTTTTAGTCTTGGAGAGAAAGAATTCAGTTGTTCACCATCAAATATGATGTTAATACATTTTCAGCTATGTCCTGCATCAGGTTGTACAAGTCCCCTTCTATTTCTAGTTTGCTGATAATTTTTATTATGAGTGGATATTGAATTTTGACAATTGCTTTTCTGCATTCAGAAAATGAATAGACATTTTCTTTTAATCTGACAATAAGGTTAATTACATCGATCACCCTGGTGTGGGTGCTGTAGGTTAACGCGCCAGACTGCAAAGCCGTTTGAACTGCAAGGTTGGCACCAGCTGCTCTTCAGAAACCCTACAGAGGGTTGCTATGGGTCAGAACCAACTCTACAGCATTTAACAACAACAACAACAACAACAATCTTTTTAATAATTTATTCTTCTTGTTAAAATTATTCCCAGCAGAACATCCTAAATTCAATGATTTCTACATTTATAACTCAGTGACAGTTTAAGTTCTGCAACCATTTTCATTCCCCCTTTCCAGGTTGTTCAATTTTGTTATAATTATCTATCAGGATATAGAGCTTTTTCTATTTCTTCTTGAATCTGCTATGACCCTTATGTGGAGCAGTTCTACTCTATCCTGTAGGGCTGCCATGAATCCGAATCAACTTGATGACAGTCGGGTTTGTTTATTTCCTATTAATGCGTTCCCTTACACCTAACCTGCATAATTTATTTACACAAAGTTGTTCAGATTTCCTTATTAACCTCTCAACATCTGTAATGATGTTTGCGCTTTCATTCCTCATATTGATAATATGTGGTTCTTTCTCTTGATCAATTAAGCTAGCGGTTTATAAAATTTTATAAGAAAGACAAAACACAAACCAAACAGGATTTCTTTCATTAATTTTTCTCTACTCTTATCTATTTACTATTTCATTGATTTCCAAACCTAATTTAAAAAAAAAACAACAACAACAAACTTTAACTTAATTTTGCTCTTTTTTCCCGTAGTCTTAGAGGAGAGACTTTAGACCTATCCTCTTCTTTAAACATTGGGAGCAAGGTGGCTCTTTAGGATAAGCACTGGACTACAAACCACAAGGTCACTGGTTTGAGCCCACCAGTTGCTCCACAGGAGAAAAATGAGGCTTTCTGCTCTCACAAAGATTTACTGCCTCAGAAACCCTACACAGCATCGCTATGAGTTGGAACCAACTCCATGGCACTTAAAAACAGCATAAAAAACATAAACATTTATAGGTAAACACAGGGACCTGGTGTGGCACTGTAAGATAAGCATGGTGTGCCAACAGCAAGGTTAGCAGTTCAAACTACCAACCGAGTCTCAGAAACCAAATATAGGGTCACTCTGATTGAGGACTGACTTGACAGCACTCAACAGCTGCATAGTTACATATATTTCTCTATAAACACAACTTCAACTTCATCTTCATCCCTTGATATTTTGCCAAGGGTTCAGCTTTGCAATTTCATAGGTGTAAGAGGCCTAGTGTGGTGTTGGTTGGATAAGCAATGAACTGGTAAAACCACAAGCCCGGCAATTTTAACCCACCACTTACTCAGAAACACTATATAAGGTCGCTGTGAGTAGGAATCTACTCGACAGCACACAACAATAAGGTTGTTCACTTTCCAAAACGAGATGTTTAGGAAATGAAAAACAAAGAGATTATCAGGAAAAGAAAAATCTCAGAACCAAATCAGTCCCCCAAAGTGTTCTGACAGGTTGAATTAGGTTCCACACAGACCCATCATTTCTGGGGCACTGGTTCAGATACTGCACTGGCAATTGGTGCTATTTAAAACATCATCAATTCAGTGTAAATCCTTATATCTGCACTTAAGAAATAAATTATGCCCATAGAAGAAATCTGAATATTGATCATCCACAATAGAATACACATTCAATTACCTTCCGTACTTTACAACATCTCCACGGTACTTAATAACAACAACTTTACAACATAACTGGCTTTTGTTGTTGTTATTTCAGTTGATGATTGATTAGATCTGTGCCCGCAACACATATCACAACTCATGTCACTACTATCAAGATCTCACTGATTTAGGCATTAACTCTGTATCCTGATGTTTGTTGCTGTTATTGTTAAGTGCTGTCGAGTCAGTTCAAACCCACCAGTTGATTCCAACTCACAGAATATCCTACAGTGTCTCGGTGTCGTAAAATGGATATGGCTCTTCTAGCCATAGTCTTTGTAACTCCCACCAAACAACTTTTTTCCAGATGGGCTTAGGTAAGAGAAAGTGAGCTAGGTTTGCCGACCCATGAAGCTAGAGCTGAGTGTCTTTGGGCTGAGGCTTATAGTATAGTGGAGTGCCATTTCGGAATTTATCAGCAGCTCTAGATGAGCTTTGTAACATTGCCTGAGCAGAGCGAGGGGCAAGGGGCCAAGGGCTAGAGAGTGGCCTGCTTGTGAACACAACCAAGAAGAGGTTGTCCTGACCAGAACTGTATCCTGAACATTTCTAATCCTGAATTGTAATTTGTTACCTTTCCTATTAAACCCCATAATTGTGAACATAGCCCATAAACTCTGTGTAGCAACTGCAATGAATTATCAAACCCAGACGAAAAGAAGACAGTGCTGTGGAAGGGACGGTTGGTGTCATGAGTTGGTAAGGAAGGCTAGAGGGTGGAGGCATGTCTGACCTCAGATTCATAGGTATCGACCCTAGGTTCATACTGATGATGATTTTCCTCCACCCTTGTGAAGGTAGAGGTCAGACAACCATCCTTACACTGGGTAACACAAAAAAATACTAAGCAGATCAGGAAGTTGTGTCAGAAAGATATCTGCATTGATATTCTGAGTCTGACTTAGTACTATGTTGTTGTTGTTAAGTGCCGTAGAGTCGGTTCCGACCCATAGCGACCCTGTACAGGGTTTCCGAGGGTGTAAATCCTTACGGGAGTAGAAAGCCTCATCTTTCTCCCGGCGGAGAGGCTGGAAGTTTCGAACCGCTGACCTTAAGGTTTGAAGCCCGATTCGTAACCACTACGCTACTAGATAAATATAGTTTAAATTAGAAACAACTACTCAAATTATCAGCTTCTATTAACTGCCCTCGAGTCAGTTCAAACTCAAAGCAACCCTCTAAATAAGGTTTCTAAGTAGTGACTGGTGGGTTTAAACTATCTTGCGGTTAGCAGTACAGTACTTATACATAACCACTATAAATTATCTTCATATGAACCAAAATATTTCTGTGATAAACATCCACACACAAAATAAGTTAATTTTCTAGCACTATTTATAACAAATATTTTGCGAAATCAATTACAATAGCTTTTTCTACTAATAAGCATTTGTTCTTGCTGTTAAGTGCCTTTGAGCAGCACTGTTGTTACATACTATGGAGTCGGTTCTGACCCATAGCGACCCTGTACAGGGTTCCGAGGCTGCAAATCTTCACGGGAGCAGAACGGCTCATCTTTCTCCTGTGGAACAGCTGGTAGTTCCGAACTGCCAACCTTGAGGTTAGAAGCCCGATTCATAACCACTACGCACCTACCAGAGCTCCTTTTGGGTTTCCTTAATTAAAAATATCTAGTAACCAGTAATGGAATAAAAATTTTTTTTCTTTGAAATGAAAGACCTGAATCTGAGTACTGTACAGCTCTATCATTTATTAATTAGCTTTGAATGAGTTAGATTAATTATTCCCATATTATTTATGAATGAGGGATAATAAAGCACTGACAGGTTTATTGTAAGCATTAGTTGACAAATTCATACAAGAGCACCACTTAATGCAATCTGACACACTGTATAAGCAAAGCAACAACAACTATTACTATATCACTTATTATGATTACTGAAAAAAAAATTTGCTAACTAAATCTAGCTGCTTACTGAAGATATTTCTATTTGCAAGTTTCTAAGAAAACTAAAGAAAAGGAGCACTCATGGTTGATGGAACATTTGAAAAGCAAAGTCTTACAAAATAAAATGCCATAAAACTAAATTTTTACCTTACAGGGGAAAAAAAAGTTACCAATTTTAAAAGTATGCTGCCTATTCCTCCCTTACCTATCCTCTGCTTCTCAGGACAAAAAAGGAGCAATAAGTGATGCCAGTGGACAAAACAACCTGACAAGTAGCTTCCATCCATTTGCTAATGTTAAACAAATTGTGACAGAACATGAAAGTAAAAATTCACACCAGTTCTGTATTGTCACTGTTGAGTTCTATAGATAGTGTTTTCTAAACATGGTAGCAGAGTCAACAAGTAGCCAGGCCTCTAAGTCATCTAGGTCACTTCTGCTATTCCAGTTAAATTTTCAATGTTGTTGTTGTGTTGTTGTGAAGTGTCGTCAAGTCGATTCCAACCCATAGTGACCCTGTATAGGGTTTCCAAGGAGCAGGCGGTGAGCTTGAACCACTGACTTTGCAGTTCAAATGACTTTGCAGTCTAACGCATTAGCCCACAGCGCCATAGGTACACATTATGCATAGCTTACTCAAAAAATGTGGTAGAAATTACAGAGTCTGACAATTTTTACTGAAATAACATATTACCATTTTAACCAAAATGTCAAGTTTATGATATAAAGTTGTTTTAACAACTCAATTTTTTTCAAAAGTACTAATAATGGAGAGCGTGTCAATTTTGAGCAAGTCTATCTTGCTCATTAATTAGTAAATGAAAAAAGGCCACACAGAGCCAGACAGGCTGCAAACTGTGACACAGTGTACTATTTAGCTGTAAAACTAATAATACCTTGATCTGCTGTCTTCGTAGCATGGCAAGTTCTCTCATGTCTCGGAATGGCTGAAGTAAATACTGATAAAGTTCAGTTGTGGCTTCTGCAAGGCTGCTGTAGGCTTCATCCTCCATCTGATACAACTCCAGAAGTTCCACCATGCTCTCTGTATTCTTGTGCTTATCTAAGAGCTATGAAATAAGAAAATTCATTACTAAGAAAGTAAGTAATGTAACCCAAAACTACTTGCTTTGCATCTCCCTCCTTGTCACTTCAGGCCTCTGGAATCCTGACACACGTACGAGGGAGGAACTAAAAGCACCAATTCTTTTTGTCACACAACTCTATACATTAGGATCTTACTACTGATCCTTTTCAAAATGTTTTCACTACATTATACCTACCATCTAGTCTATTTTTAAAAAAAGAATAAACCATTTTATTATAACTCTACACACAGTAGTTTATGAATTCTTGCCAATATTATTTTTACTAACTTCCCAAGTCTTCTTTTGCCATTCCTTTTCCTAACTTGGAACATTTCCTTAGTTACTTCTGTAAAATCATGCCTACCACCTCCTTCAGTATCCAGGTTGGTGGTAGTTGTGGTGTTGCACCTAACCGGGGCTTTGAATCATTCTATTCTGGATCAAAACCGTGCGAAGAATTTTTATTTCCCCCACAGAAGTACTGAATCAAAATCTACATTATAAGACTCCCAGGTGATTCTTACGTAAATGTCTTATATATTCTTAAGACTCATGGGGGATCTTGTTAAAATGTGGATTATGGTTCAGTATATCTAGAGTGGAAATGCAAATAAATTCTCAACATAAGGTCAAACTGAAATGAATCAGTTGAAATTTCTGAAAACACTCACCTCTACTGGAGAGTTAAATATGAGCTGGGAGGCATTTACAGCTCTCTTTGACTTTCTTCTTACTCATGTTTAAGAGTAAACAAAAACATTATATAAGTTTAAAAATTACAAACTGATAAATTTATGAAAATTATATTTTAAGACAAGTTTATACAATAAAAATGAAAAATGATAAAACGTAACTAAAGGTCCTATGAGAAAGATAAGGTAAGGAGATGTGGTGGTAAGATGTCACTTAGAGTGTGCAGAGAGAAAGGCTATTTAAGCGGAAATTTAAAGAATCCTTGTAGCAAGACAATACTCATTATTTTTATATACATTTACTCTTGATCTCCATTTACCTGGTAACAGTCTCATCTCCCCAAAGGCATAACAGTTTTCTTTTATCCCTTTTTGTACGTAGAGTTACTTAAGATGCAACGGGAACATCTTAAAATTTGTCATATGGCTTTGAAGGCAAGAAGCCATAAAAGGGGTGCTATAAAGTCTTATTCAGAGTCCTGGTGTGGTGCTGTGGGTTAATGCACTTGACTGCAAAGTTGTTTAAGCCACAAAGTGGGCAGTTCAAGCTCACCAGTCATTCCTCGGAAACCCTACACTGGGTTAATATTGGTCGGAACCAACTGAACAGCATTTAACAACAACAACAACAGCAAAAAAAAGTCTTACTATTTTTGTTAATTGTTTCTTTTCCTTTTTGGTGATTTTGGACATTAGTGTCCAGTCTTTATTTTGGTCCCCCTTATATCGTGGGGAGCTCATTCTCTTCTTACTCAACAAGGCACATCAATTGTGGCCATACAGCCAAGGTACCATAACACCCTATAAATCCCACCATCTGGGAAAGAACCAAAACCAGCTTTTATACACCAGAACAGCATAAATAACCAACAATTGCTAAAACTACTCTGAGTTTAATAGAGAAGTAAAAAGAGAAGCCCATCTCCTGATCACATCTACCACGAGGCAATCAAAGAGTGTAAGAATATACAAACATACATTCATCTAATTATTGAAAATACAACAGCACCACAATGCCTGAAAAGCAACAGAAAATGTCTGCTCATGTGCAGACAAAAGACAGAGTACCTCAAACAAATGAGCTGGAGGTAGACAGAATTTCCACTGGAAGGAGTTTGGCCTCTGGAAATGCCCGATAAGGAGTTCAGGAGAATGGTATCTAGGTGAATCCAAATGTTCCACAGAAAATAAGGAAGAAGTTAAAAAAAACCAAATAAGATAGAAATAGGAGTCCTGGTGTGGTGCTGTGGGATAAAGCACTACACTGCAAAGTCAGTTTGAACCACAAGGTCAGCGGTTCAAACTCACCAGCCCTCCTTGGAAGCCCTATACAGGGTCGTTATGAGTCGGAACTGACTCGAAGGCACTTAACAATAACAACAGCATTGGAAACCATTCAAAACCGGCAAAATGACATCCAGATGATTAACACCAAAAGAGAAGAAACGGACAATACATTAAAAGGGCAAATGAGTAGAACTGAAGGGATGGAAGCCAGAATCAGCAAGTTTGAAGACGAATTTTTTAATACTGTTAAGATAGATGAGAAAGCAAAAAAAGCATGCATGAAAAAAATCTAAAGAAAGTCTAAGAATTGATGAGGGACAACATGAAGAGGAATAATCTACAGGTGACTGGAGTCCCAGAACAGGAAGAATCACAGAAAGCCACAGAGGAGAAAGTCGAAGATCTGCTGGAAGAATATTTCCCTAACATCCTGAAAGACAAGAATATAAGCATGCAAGAAGCAGAATTAACCCCAGGAAGGATAGATTCCCAAAAGAAAAACACCAACACATAATATAAATTCTCCAAAATCAGAGAGAATCCTGAAAGCAGCTAAGGGAAAAGAGAAGTGCTATGTACAAAGGCAAGCAAATAAAATTAAGCTCTGATCTCTCAGCAGAAACCATGCAGGCAAGAAGGAAATGGGGAGACATATATAAAACCACGAAAGAAAAAAACTGCCAAACAAGAATCATTTACCCAGAAAAGTTGTCTATCAATATGATGGTGTAATCAAAGTATTCCAGGATAGAAAAAAGTTAAGGAACTTTGTAAAAGCCATACCAGCACTTCAAAACATCCTACAGGGTGTTCTTTAGGCTGAGAACCAACAAGAACAGACAACAAGAGATTGACATATGTGGCAACAACACTTGGAACTCAGTAGAGATGGACGAATTCAGAGCAGAATAAAACTACAAGAATGAAATCAGAGGATCTGGAAGGTCAGTCTATGATTAAAACATATGCACCGAAAAAAGGGAAAAAATATAGGAACAGAGATCCAGGTGGTGGAGGTCAGGTAGATTTCAGGATAAAACACACTGTTTTTAAAGGAAGAAAAAGTTAACGGGAAGGGATGCAGAACAAAGAAACAAGTAGCACCACAAAAAACAAACAGAATGACAGCAATTAATTCATACCTATGGATAATGACACAGAAGTCAATGGATTAAACACACTAGTCATAAGACAGAGAGTGGGGGACGAGTGGCGGCACTTCCCTGACCCAACAGTACAGCCTCCCTTCTGCTATTGGAAAACTCCATGTTTGCCTTTGATTTTGATTTTGGCTTTGTTTTCTACCCGACTGGAGTTGTTTGGCTGCCACATAGAAGAGTGAAAAGTGAAGACCACATCCTGATCACATCCTCCTGGAGGCAATCAGAAAACATAAAAAATTACCAAACGACATAATTAATTATTTGGGCCACAGATAAACATTAAACATGTCCAAGAAGCAAAAACAGATGTCCGTATTGGCACATGTCCAAAAAAAAAAGATAAAATATCTGAGACAAATGAACCAGAAATAGAACTTCTCTCCATGCTGGAAGGAGGGCAGGCCTTAGAAATACCTGAGAAAGAATTCATAAAGTGATTATAAAATGTTTCAAAACACTTTACAATGGTGTTGAGAAAAATAAGGAAGAAGCCAGAGAAGTGCTACAGGAACAATCAAACAAGATAGACACAGCATTGGTAACAATACAAAACCTACAGAAAGAGGTCCAAACAATCAACAACAAAATGGCAGAAATAGAAAACTCCCCTGAAAGGGCAGAGGAGCAGAATAGATAAGATGGAAGGAAGAATCAGTGAGCTGGAAGACAAGTCTCTTAATACCACTAAGATAGAAGAACAAACCCAAAAAAGGGTAAACAATTCAGAGGAAGGTCTAAGATTCATGTTGGACAACATGAAGAGGAATAACCTAAGAATTATTGGCATTCCAGAACAAAATGAGTCACACAAGTCCACAGAGGAAATAGTCGAAGAACTACTGGAAGAAAATCTCTCTTAACATCCTCAAGGGCGAAAAGATAGGCATAAAATAAGTCCAACGAAGTCGAGGAAGGGTGGACCCCAAAAGAAAATCACCAAGACATATCATAGTCAAGCCCTCCAAACTGAAAGACAAGGAGACGCTCCTGAAAGCAGTAAGAGAAAAGAGTGGGGTCACATACAAGGGCAAACAAGTCAGACTAAGCTCAGACCTCTCAGCAGGAACCATGCAAGCAAGAAGGCAATGGGGAGACATACATAAAACACTGCAAGAAAAAAATTGCCAACCAAGAATCCTTTATCCAGCAAAGCTATCAATCAAAATATGAGGGAGTAATCAAAATATTCCAGGATAAACAGAAGCTATGGGACTTCACCAAAGCCAATCCTACGCTACAAAACATCCTAAAGGGAGTTCTGTGGACCAAGAACCAACAAGAACAGACAACAACCAGAGATTGACATATGTGGCAGCACCTCCTTGAATTAAATCAACAGAAAGAAGAAATGTTAACAAAACAAAGTTATAAGAACAAACTGAGAGACTCTGGGAGGGCAGCCTATGACCAAAACAAGTATAATGCAAAAGGAGGTGAACACGTAAGAACAGAGATCCAGACAATGAGAAGGGCAGGTAGATTACAGGATAAAATAGACTGCACTAAATGGACAGAGAATTCAATGGACCATAAGACAACCTCAAAGAAAATTAACACTTCACAGCATACCAAGAGAATGAGAATCCAAGAAGAATAT